ATATGGAAAAGTTCAATAGATAACTATTATTAATTAAGGAACCAAGATACCAATCCAAAGCGTCAGAATTTAAAGCGATCAACGGCAAAATGAATGGTTGTAAAGTTTTATAATGGACGCATATGTACCGGATTATAACAAAACTCACTTCTTTTTTTCATTAAATTTTTTTTAAGCCAAGTTTTTTATCGAAAATAAAAAAAACCGAATATACCGTTGTTCACGATTTTTCGTCTTCTTTCCATAGAGATCCATGATGATATATAAAAAACAAACTTTTTTTTTTCGAAAAAAACCTACTTAATTTTCTTAGTTTTTTTCTATATTTAAGTTTATTTTTATCAAAAAAAAAAACTAATTATACCAAAAATATTAATTTTTTGTACTCTATTAAAAAACATCAACACCGATTAAAAAAAAAAACCTCGAACAGTGTAAATTCACACTGTGAATATAAACTGTAAATATATTTCAATTTTTAACATTCACAATATGAAAAATCTCGAACAGTTCAGATTCACATTGTGAATCTGAATTACTATTATGCACTCTGTGAATCTGAGAAGGTTAAAAAAATAAAAAAAACAAAAAAAAACCTCGATCAGTGTAGATTCACGCCGTGAATCTAAACTGTAAATATTTCAAATTTTAACATTCACGATGTGAAAAAGCTCCGATCAGTTCAGATTCACACTGTGAGTCTGACTTATTATTATGCACACTGTGAATCTGAACATGTTTACAATATGAATCTGAACAGGTTTACAATATGAATCTGAACAGGTTCACAACGTGAATCTGAACTGAAATATCGGTTTTATTATTTTTTTTATTTTTTTTAACATAAATATGAATCTATGTTTAAAAAGTACAAAAAATATGAATTTTGATATATTTATTAATTTTTTTCTATAAAAAATAGACCTTAACTTTTTTCATTAAAGAAAATGAAGTGAGTTTTTTTCGAAAAAAAAAGTTCGTATTTTATATATCATTATGGATCTCTATGGAATGAGGACGAAAAATCGTGAACAACGGTATATTCAGTTTTTTTTGATAAAAAACATGGCCTAAAAGAAATTTTAAACGAAAAAAAGTGGTGGGTTTTTTTTGTAAAGGGTGAATTTTTTGGTATAATCCGGTGTGTGTGCGTTCAATGTAAAAGTGTATATCTATTTCCTTGGCCGTTGATCGTTATGATTTCCGACGCTCACGATTGGTTCATTGGTTCCTTGGTTAATTATGATTCTCTATTGAACCTCACCCTATATATATATATATATATATATATATATATATATATATATATATATATATATATATATATATGCGCGCGCATTAGGGAGAAGATAATTAATAAATACTGTGACACGTCCGGCTTTTTGCTAAAAAAATTTCATGAAAACGTTTTGGTGAAAAGTGGAGTGTGGGTTTGTAAAAACAAAAAACAAGTTAAGAGAACAATGCAAAAAGTAAGATGTGAAATTCCAAAAAAAAAAAGAAAAAAAAAGAAAAAAAAAAGAAAGAAGTTATCCAATTAAAAAATAAATAAATTTAAATAACAAAGTTATATAAAAATTGTGTAAAATATGTAAATATTATTTAGATGAATTCGTAAAAGATAATATTAGTTAAAAATATTTAATCGGAATTGTTTATTTTTAAAAGAAGTCGTCAAAAGAACTTAAAGAAAAACCTAAATTAAAAGATATTATGTTGTAAAAAAAATTAAAAAATTGTAAAATAATTCGTATCGAATTTCTAATCGAATGTTAAACTTAACCAAAATCAGTTATAAGTAAATCCAAGATATCGAATCATAACATAAACAATATTATTTAACCATCATAAAGTTTGGCCAAAATTGTTTCTTCTTTATGAATTGATTGCTAACGTTGGACCTTTTGTCCTCCAATTTTGAATACGAAAGATGAATGCCACACCTTAACAAATTCAGGTAGTTCATGACAAAAATTCCATAGTTCAAGGACCAAACCGAGATGTTTTCTTTATGAATTGATTGCTAATCCTAGAATGACGATTTCCAGGGATGTTTTCTAAAGGATCTTTGAAAGCAGTCATTTATATTTCTCTAATCGATTAGGCACGACAGTGTGACAACACTTTAGACATAGCACGACAGTACAATTAGTACTTTTTGGTGAGCACGTAGTACAATGGTACTCTGGACAGGCACGACAATACAATAGTACTTTTGAATAAACATATCAAGTCACGACTTATTATTTCGCACAACTCTCACTAACCTATCACAACCATTATCTTACACAACCATATCACATCCTCCAATTTATTATTTTACACACCCCATTACTACCCAATCGTATTATTAAGTATAATATACGATTAGATAAAGTAACAATCATATCATATAGTACAAATATATTAAACACAACAAAAATAACGCAAATAGAATATAAGCATTTAAAATACTTGTATCCATGTGTAAGTTGAAATTAACTATGCACTCACCTGACTTAGGTGAGTGACCGAAGAATTCGGCAGCGCTCCGCTTGACACTTTGACTTTTCCTTTGACGTGACCTTTCTATGATTAATACATAGTCTTAGTCTAATATTACTGATGACTAATGATAGTCTAGATTCCTCACTAATCTCAATGTCTACATCAAGATCTATCAAGTAAGGAACAAGCAGGTAGGATCGTATTGAAGGTAGGGTCCGTTTGGTGTACATGATATATTGTTTGGAAATCTCACTTTAAACACCTCACTAAATCCAGCTTAGATATCATCCCTGTAAGTAGATCAACCGGTATAATGATTTGGAATCAACTGATAAATCTTAATTATAAGTTCATAATAACGATTATAACTCTAATTAAAAGTTACACTTGAATAAAATAACTGTAGCTTAACTTACAGAGCTTTCTAATGAAAACCGGGAATTATGCAGGTAGAATTTTGATCCAAGAGCTTCTATTCACCGGCTATCTAACATTGCAGGGTTTCACTAAAGGGGTCGGGAACTCGAGAGTATTGGGACTAAGGGGTGGAAAGAGCTCCAAAGGACCGAGTGGAGTCGGGATAAGAAATTGGCTGGAACGCGAGGGTTTATATAGGCTGAAATGTGGTGTGCGCCGTGCATCATGTCCCCTGCGCGCCGCGCATCTGGCCGGCCAGGGTGACATGTCAATCGATGGGTGGTGCCACGTGTCGAGAATCTGGTGGAGTGTCAGTGCACATCGCACATACTATTTGTGCGCGTTGAAATTTCTAATTTCTTAGAAAATTCATATATTTTGCATACGAGCTCTGTTTTCGACGAGTTTATATCCACACGTAGCTATCGATGAGGTCTATAACTCTCATTTAGACTCCGTTGGTTAATTTTGAATTTATTTTTAAAGTTATATTTTTAACAGACTTAGACTATTAAAGTCCGTTAAAACTTCATAACTTTATCATATGATATCCGTTCTCGACTGTCTTTATATTGACATATATGTGTTGACGAGATCTTCAACTCTCGTTTAGATTGTTTTCCTAACAACCGACCGATTTCAATTCCGGTTTTTGAGTCGTATACTGCTACACTGAAATATTAGAAAAATCATAACTTCTTCTTATAAAGATATATTTGAGCGTTCTCTCTATATCCGGAATCTTTGTCACATATACTATAACTTAGGTTAATGTCATTTATCTAAATAACCTTCTATAAATAGTCATTTTTACCGCTTATAATATCTTAAGCGTCTAGCCCGACTTTGCGGGTGTTACACATGAATATGTGTTCGGAATCTGTGATAGTAGTAATATAGATACACAGTTCGAAATGTCAGTTCAACATGTACGGTTTTGACTATGGTCGTCCAGAATTGACTGCGTCAGTCTGGAATGTACAACTACACATTTCGAAATCCAAACTTCACCAATCCCCTGCCAACTCCGGAATGAGTATAACTACTATGGAACGACCTAATTCCAAAGAAGCGGTCATGTTTCTAAGTTTGAAAAAAAAAACTGGTTATTTTTATTAAATTTCTCATTTATAATTGTTAGTTTACTTAATTTCCCCTATATATTGTTTATTAATAAAAGATTCTTAATTATAGACATGGTTGTAAAAAGTTCTAATGGTTCCAATGCTTGTACCGCACGCTAAGCCTTAAGAAACACAACCTTAAGTTATATATATATATATATATATATATATATATATATATATATATATA